TAGATATTCCCATTTCACAGATGAGGAAAGTAAGGCTCCGAGAAGATATTCGTCCCTGCGCTCATTTACCTTTGCCACTAGGTGCCATGTGAGAAGCAAACCCAGACGCCGCTGTGAGTCCTGGGGGGTAGGAGGCTACACTTCGCTTCTCTGAGCTTCACTTTCCTCACCCAGAAAATGGGAATAATGGTATCTGCCTCTCTGGTGGTTGTGAGACTGAATTGAGTTCATTCTGTCATTCAACAAATATTTATTGAAGATTTCTCTGCCAGCTCCTGCTCTAGGTCCTGGGGACACAGCAGAGAACAAGGTGGGCAAGAATTTGTGCTCCCGAGAAGCCACGTTCTTCTGGATAATGCCTGTCAGGTGCTCTGCAGGGACTGACACTTAGTAAGTATTCAATAAAACTAATGGGGATAAGAATATAGGATTGAATTGGATGGCGTGCAGAACGGGCTTGGCCTTTAAGAACAGCTCACTTTGGCACTAATTCTTTACCAGTGTCTGTGGGGATACAGTCTCTGGCCCAGGAGGACACAAGGTCCTTTTGGCCTGGGCCACATGTTCTTGGGCACTCAGCAGTCACCAGTCCAAGGTGCCTCCCCAAAGCCAGCAGAACTCTGCCCCAGGCACGGACTGCAAAGTCAGCTAAAGGAGCCTTGGGTCTTGTCATGAGGGCTCTCCCCCACGGCACTGTCCCCCTCAGCTAAGCAGCCTCAGCTCAGCCCCACCCACTCCCTGACTCTGTCCCTGGGCCAGGCCTGAGCCTGCCCTGGAGGCTCTCCCAGCTGTCCTGATGTCCCCTCTGGCTCCTGCAGACACTCCCCCTTTCCACCCCTGGAGGCCTGTCTGGACATCAGCCCCTCCCCCTTCAGAGGCGTCTCCAGACATCACCGCTGGGCTATTCTTTTTTCCTGACAACTGTGATATCAAATGTCAAACCAGGCTCTGCTGAGCACTGACAGGTGGAGGTGGGGGGTGGTTCTTGATAACTGTGTGGTTTAGGGGCGGATCCCCTGGAGCCCCCCATAAGGGGCTTGGAAAGGCTGGCCGGGGTCTGGCTCTGCTCCCAACCCACAGTGCTTCTTGAGCAAACCTCTCCCTCCCCGGACCTTGAGTTCTCTGTACTATCAAGGAGAGACAGCTGTCTCTGCCTGTACTAGGTGGTATGAGGATCTGGGGACTCAGGCAAAGCCCTTTGGGGACTGGGAAAGTCCTGGGCAAGTGGCAGTAGACTCCTCTGAGAGCCGACTGTCTTCCAGATGGGCTCTGCAAAGGGGTCCCTGGGGTGCTGGGCAGCTATGTCCATCAGACCTCCAAAAAGTCCGTCCTTCTGTCCTCACTTGCCCTGAGTAAGCTGGGACAGCTGGCACTGAGCGCCGGGGAAGCGGGCTCTGGCGGGCCCTGACAGCTCGGCAGTGGCAGCAGCGGAGGTGGCAGTGGCCGCAGTGGCAGAGGCTATTCTGAGAGATGGGAGGGGCTGGAGAACGGACACTGAGCAGCGGGGAGGAGACTGTCCTGTGAGGGTGAGGGGAGTGTCACTGAGGCCCAGGCAGCGGGTATCTGCCAGCAGCGTTACGTGTTGAGAGAGCTGTGTGGCGTGGTCTCCTTACTGGGAGGGGATGGTACTGAGGCACTGAGGCGTGCACTGGGGTTGTTTGGGTGTATGTGTACAAGTTTTGTGAGCCAAGTAGGAGCTGAGTGGGTAAAGCACATGTCTGTAAGGGCGCGAGCAAGTGAATGTGTGTGTATTGGAATACAAGCGTCTTTAAGCCTGGGGAAAGTGTGAGCAGAAGCAAATGTGTCTGTGTGTGGAAGGGGAGGAATGCGGGGGTAAGCAAGTGGGGGCTTGTCTGTGAGCAGGAATGAATGTGGGAGTGGTAGGGAGGGTAAATGGCAGATTGAGAGCAAGCATGAGGGAGGAGAGGGGCGGGGAGGGGAGTATGAGAGACCTGGGGCCAAGAACCGTAGGAAGATTTGGGCCTGTGCAATTGGGACGCAAGTGGAAGGGACATATGCAAGTGTTCACGAAAGTGAGCCAGTGTGTGTGAGTGGGCATGAGTGTGTGCATGGGGAGAGCAGGTGACACGGTGTGAGTTGGGGTGAGTACCAGGGGGAGATACATACCAACAGCAATAAAAACAACTAGCCTTTATTGAGCAATTTCTCTGAGCCCGGTGCTGATATTCACGATCTTACTGAACTCTTCAAATATCCTATGAAGTCAGTGCTATGCCGACACTCATTTACACATTAGAAAATAGTGGCTTTAGGCAGTTGAGTAACTTGCCCACACTCTTAATCACTATGTCATACTGCCCCACAGTGAATGTGTAAGCAGGGGTCCAGTTGTGAGTAAAGGAGAATGAGTGTCAGTGTGTGGCATGGTGGGTGTGCGTTTGTATGTGTGTGAAGGGGGGCTGAGTGTGCCAGATGTGGATCCCAGAGGAGGTTCCAGGCAGCAGCTGTGGACACTGGGTGGGGCAGGGGCCTGAGCAGAGTCTGAGTCAGCCTGAGTCAAGGAGTCTCTGCCAACCTGGCTTTCCAACCCTGCAGTGGCAGCCTGTGCCAGCGCCCCCAGCTAAGGATCCTCCCAGCTCTGGTATGGCCCCCAGCAGGCCTCCATCTCACAGAGCAGGCTGGGCCAGGGCTGAAGACTGGCAAGAGGCCTGCCTGGCCTCTAGGGTGCCTGAGAGGGCAGTTCCTTGCGTGGGCTCCCTAGGCAGGGAGGGCATATGAGAGAGACTGTGGGAGGGGGTCCAGCAGTGATTTCAGAGCCCTTATGACTCTAAACAGACCACCTGGAGAGTATGTGCATATATGCACAGGCGTGTGGGGGACAGCCATGGCTTCCATGCTCATCCTGGCCTACGGGATGTAACTCAGGAAGATGCCAAGTCAGGCATTTGCAAGCTGTGCCTGGCTCTACCATGAGGGGCGAGGAGAGGCCTCTCTAGCCATTCCCCCACCCTTTCCCTTAGTCCTACTCCTTGAGACCTCAGCTGGAAGGAAGGAATTTTTGGGAGAGGCTGTCTTCCATGACCTGAGAACTCTGTAAGTTGCTGTCTCCAGCCTCTCCAGGAGTGTGGTCCTGGCTGGTGAGCTTGGGATTCTAGTCCTGGCCATTCCATTTAAGTGAGTCATCTACCCACTTGGGCCTCAGTTACCTGACTGGTGCAAGAAAGATGCTGTCCTCAAGGGACAGAAGGCATTGCTGACAGAGCAGGAAGTGGTGTGGGCAAGCAAGGAACAGAGACGAGCGTTGGGAGCTGGGGTTAGAGAAGGTATCTGGGATGAGTTGACACTTGAGCTGAGCTTTGAGGAATGGAAAAGTCTCTGATCATGGCCTGGAGGAGGTGAAAAGGTGTTCTAGGCAGAGGGCATACTCTGAGCAAAGGCTGGCAGGTGATGTGGTGACTGGAGACCTAGCCTACGACCCTGTGGGACGCGGTCATGGGCTGCACAACTTCTCAGCCAGCCTCTCCCTTCTGAGGCCATATGATGATATGATAAGCATCTGACTCCTCCACTAACCTCTGCAGTAGGAACCCCATCTGTCTCTGTTGCTGCTCTTGCCATAGTGGCCTGAACAGTGCTTGCAGTATCAAAGGTACTCAATAAATGTCTGTTAAATGAATGAGAAGCTTCTCCCCATACAGGATGAAGTATGGGGCAAGTGCCTCTTCCAACAGCCCCTGCGAGAGCATCTCAGAGAGTTTTTGAAACAGTGGTTTGCAAAGTGTAGTCCTGGCTGCATCACCTGGGAACTTGTTAGAAATGCAAAGTCTACGGCCCCAACCCATGCTTACCCTGCGGGGTCCAGCAACATGTTTTCACACTTTAAACTTCGAGAACCGAGACTCTAAAACAATGTCCACAGGCACCCTAAGAGCCTATGAAAACCTCATTTGCAGATGGAGAAGCTAAGAATGTGTCAAAGTCTGGCCCACAACCCAGGTGTTCCTAACCCTTTCTCTTTCCCCAGCCCAGTCGAGGGCACAAAGGCGAGCTGGATCATCAGCCCCATCAGGTTTCTAAGACTTGCAAAAGCCAAGGCTCTAGAGTCAGGGGGCTGGGCTTTCCTCCCAGGAGTAGAAGGCGGGGCCAAGTGCCCTGAGTCACGCCCCATCCCCGTTGCCCCGGGAAACCCCGGGTTGTAACAATAACCCGCTGACGCGCTTCTGGGAGGGATCGGGCCGAGTCCGTGGGCGGGACGACTCTGTTGCAAACCAATGAGAACACTCGGGCTCCGCCCCCCGCCCCCGCCCCTAGCGCCGGGCAGGGGGCGGGGTCGCGCCCGCCACTCCTTCCCTGCTCCGTAGGCGGCGCTGTTTCTTGCAGGGGCTGCGGCGGGGTCGCCCCGAGTCGCGCGCCCAGCGTCCCCACCCTGGCCTGCGGGCGGGGCACCCGGCAGGCCGAGGATTCCGCGGCTGCTAGTGGGTACGCCCCGCCCCCTCCCGGGCCGGGCCCGCCCCCTCCCGGTCCCCCGCCCATTCCGAGGTGCAGCCGGCGCTGAGCGCGGCAGGCGCGGGAGCTGGCGCTGGAGCCGGAGCGGCGGCGGCGGCGGCATTCACGGGGCGGCGGCGGCGGCGGCGCGGGCTCCCGCACGGGCTTGGGCTCCGGCATGGTGCAATCCGGCCTCGTCCCGGGAGAGCGGGGCCCGGGCGCGGGGCCGGCGCTAGAAGAGAGGCGGCAGCGACGGTGGCGGTGTTGGCTGCAGGCTCAGGCGGGCGGCAGGTGCTAGAAGCGGATCTGGGCGAGGTGTGTGCCCACTGGGCTCCGGGGCCGCCGCCCCCTCACTGCGCCCATCTTTCCCTCCCTTTGGGCTTTCCAGAGAGTCCAGACCCCTGTCTCCGCGCCCCGGCCCATGGCGCCCCGCGGTTGAGCCGGCGCCGCCAGGGACCCCTCCCGCGGGCCTCCCCGGGGCGTGCAGATCCCGGAGCCTCCCGCCCACCCTCCGCGGAGCCTCCCTCTCCTCCTCGCCCGAGCCGGGCGGGACCATGGCTGCGAAGCTGCGAGCGCATCAGGTGGACGTGGACCCGGACTTCGCGCCGCAAAGCCGGCCGCGCTCGTGTACCTGGCCCCTGCCGCAGCCTGACTTGGCCGGCGACGAAGACGGAGCGTTGGGTTCAGGGGTGGCTGAGGGCGCGGAGGACTGCGGGCCGGAGCGCCGGGCAACGGCCCCGGCGATGGCCCCAGCGCCGCCGCTGGGAGCGGAGGTCGGACCGCTGCGGAAAGCCAAGAGCTCCCGACGGAACGCGTGGGGGAACCTGTCCTATGCCGACCTCATCACCAAAGCCATCGAGAGCGCCCCGGACAAGCGGCTCACGCTCTCCCAGATCTACGACTGGATGGTCCGTTACGTGCCCTACTTCAAGGATAAAGGCGACAGCAACAGCTCGGCCGGCTGGAAGGTGGGGGCGTCCGGCTGGGGAGGGGGGCTGGGCTAGCCAGCCGGGGCTTCCAGGGGCTCCTCGGTGCTTCTGAGCTCAGAGCGGGCTGGCGGGAGGGAGGCCCTGGGGCACCCCCAGGGGTCACGGAGCGTGTGCCCAGGGCGCGGGGCCGGCCAGCAGACAGGAGGGGGCGTGTTGGGAGCAGCTGTGTGCATGCTCTGGATAGGGGGTGGGAGGTCTGAAGGGGTAACAAGGGACTGACTGACACTTTGAAGCACCCCGGAGGGACACCCCCAGCCCGTCCTTGGGGACATCGCAAAGGAACCCATTCCCAGGTCTCGGACATTGGGAGCCTCCTCTTACCCCCATGAGTGTTTTGGGTTACTCTTGTTTTACCCCCTCCACCAGGGCACTCTCCTTAAAGAGATGGAATAATGACTTGGGTCAGTGGCTGCTTTCCCCTAAAATCTTTCCCACTGCACTACCTGGAGCTGACCCCAGGATGAGGAGTGCAACCGTAGGCTCACAGTTCTTCCTGTGGTGCCAGTTCACCCGAGGGCGCCAGCTAGCCTGGGGTGGGGTGACTCGTCAGGTGACCTGAGATCTGAGTTGTCTGTGGGGCAGCTGCTCCCCCTTGTCTTTATCAGTGTGGTGGGCTGGTGATGACCCCTGCTGGTGTTAGGGCAGGGTATTGAGGGCTGGGGATCCGTTCCTGTCTACCACAGGCTGTCTGCCTTCCACTTCCCTGGCTTCCTGAGCTCAGATGCATTTGGGGGTGGGAGGAGGGGCAGGGGCACCCCAGGGGAAGGCTCAGTGCCAGCCAGTGGAAAGGGGAGAGCCATCTTGGAAGAGGACAGGGGCTTGACTGGATTGTGGCCTCCTGACCCTCCTCTGGCCATCTCCTGGGGGAATGGGAATAGTCGATATTTTGGGGGGATAGGAAGTTGGAGATGGGGGGCTGTGCCTACGGCCTGTGAGCTGTCAGACTCCCTGTGGGAGAGAGCGGTCTCTGCCAGGGAGGCATGCCTGAATGGAAGCAGGGGGGCTGTGCTTGGTGGTGGCTGCAGGTGGGGTCAGAGAAGGAGGTGTGCCAGTGGAGGAGGTGGGGCTTGTGGGTATGGACAGCTCTGGATGCCCAGTGGCTGCATTGTAGGGGTCACGAGTGCTCTGACCTGGGAGCCCACGGCTTTCCGGCCGCCGTGGGGTAGGGTCACAGGCAGGAGGAGCAGACGTGAGTCTCCTTCCTCAGCCTCTCCAGTTCCCTTGGGATCGGCCTCCACTGGAACACTTATTCCTCCCAAGTGGGTCCTGCCCTTGGGCTTTGCTCCCACCTCCCTTCTTGCTCCCCATGCACTATCCCTCCTTTTCACCCTCTAGATATATTCCCTGTACTGAAGGACAGAGTTCAGATGCCTCTTCCTGGAAGCCTTCCTTAACCCTTTTCAGCTAGCTTAGGAACCCCTCTTCTCTGGCCCTCTTTCTGCCTGTCATAGGTCTTTGCCTTTTGTGTCTCGCCTTATTTCCCTTCCCCACCCTGCCTCTGGAAGACAGGAGCAGTGTCAGAGCAATCTCTGTGCCCACAGCACCCAGTGTAGGGCCTGGCACTGAGGAGCCACCAGTGCATATCTGGGGAAAGAGTGAAGAAATGGGTGGATGGTACAGAAGGTGCTGAGGCTGAGAGGGTGCTGTGGGCCAGAGTAAGCCAGGAAGGCTTGCGCAGGACGTGGAGCTCCCACTGGGCTTGATGGATTAGGGACAATGTGGGGAGATGGCAAGAGGGGACATGAGGCTGGAAGCTGGGAGAGAACTACAGTTCATTGAGGGTCTCACGGCCAAGCCCTGTGCCAGACACTTTCAGGCATCTGTGCCTGGTGTCTCCTTAAATGCTCTCAGCAGTCCCTGAGGTGGGTTTTACTGTCACCATTTCTAGAGCTGGACACTGAGGCACAGAGTGGAGGAGTAAACTGCCCAAGGTCACACAGTTAGTAGGTGGGAAAACTGGACTCTAATCCAGGTGTCTCTCCCTCGAGTGCCCCACAGAGCCTCTGAAATAGTGTCTATCTGGCACCGGGTGTGGGAGTGGGACACTGATGGCTTTTGAACAGGGGCAGCTTTAAATGCCAACATGTGATTGGGATGTGCTTGGAGATAACTTAGTCCCATGAGTTCATTTCTCAGACTGTGACACTGAGGCCCAGGAAGGAGATAGGACTCTTCTCAGGCCGTCGGTAAGCAGCAGGCCCTGGATGACAGCCCAGGTCTCCCGCCAGCCCATTGGATTTGATTTCCACTGCACCAAGCTGCTCAGGACACAGTGGTTCTCCCTGTGTTGGGGCTCAGGAAGGAAGGAGTCCTGGAAGGCTCCTCCTGGGCCGGGGCATTGGAGAGAGACCCTCAGGCTTGGACTCCTGACCTAGGCCTTGGCAGAGACCACCCAGCCACTGGAGGAGGGCTGTTCAGAGGGGCCACTGGCCTTTCCCATCTCATTCCCTGGTGGTCATCCTTCTTCTGTTCCCCCCAGCCCCAGTCTTCGCTCCCCAGGGAGTCTTTCCCCTCTCATTCCTGCTCCTCCCTGCTGCCTGTTCCCCCATTTCTGATCAGTCTCTCCGGGGGCCTGGTAGAGGGGCCACCCCAACTCCCAGCTAACCTCTGGCTAGCAGGGGCTGTGGGACACCTCGGGTGCCTAGGCTGCAGCTAGGGCCCACTGTTCCTTCCTCCCCCACAGAAGTGATGCACTTGGATCCCTGGGATGTACTAAACCCTGTGTCAGATGGTGTAGGGGGACCAAAAGGAAACACATTGGACCTGCCTTCAGGACACATCGGGGCTCTGCCAGTTCCACACCCAGGCCCTGTGTTTTTCATGCAGAAAGGGCCAGGGGTGGGGACAGGGGTATGGGGAAGGCAGGTTAGATCCCTTGGATAGCCAGGCAAACCCTTCCTGGGCAGGTGGTACTTGATCTGAGCTGTCTCCGTTGGGGGTAGAATTTGGGAGAAAGTCTTCCAGGGAATGTTGACTGAATATTCAAAAGCAAGAAGGTGGTCCTGGAGAACATTGGGCATGCCAGGCTATAGAACCCAGGGCTGCTAGGTATGGCGGGGAGGTGGCATGGGAAAGGTAGGGTGGAACAGATGAGAAAGGGCCTTTGCCTGGTGGTCCCACCACTAATGTGGGGAGGCAACTGAGCAAATCGAAGGAGGCAGCAAGCGCAGTACACCCACCAGGCTGAAGCCTGAAGAGAGGCTGAGCTTGGTGCTGGGAACTTTACCAAAGAGGCTGACATTGTTCCCCTCAGAGTAGAGGGCCTCCAGGTCTGGGAAGAGGGCTCGGACAGGAGGTCCCCATCCCTCCGCAGTGTCCCAGAAGTGGGGATACCTGACTGCCAGGTAGAGCCTCCCGCTTTCTCAGATGCTGCAGCTCTACCTTCCCTAGTGATGGTTCCTCCGGGAAGCCTTCCAGGCTGCTCTGCGTCCTGGCGTTTCTTCCACTTAGCGCTCCTCTCTCTCTTACCGCCCCTGGAGTTGTTCTGCCTGTTTCCTGGCTGCCTGCTCCCCTGGGAGCTCCCAGGCCAAGCCTGGGCGCCTCCCATTTTTGTGGGGGAGGAGTACAGTGGGTGAGGACTTCCTTCTCCCTCGGGGCCTGGTGCAGCCTGGTTGTTGGGGGATTGTATCGGGAGGGGTGGTGCTACCCCCATCTGGCCCCGGCTGGCCTGTAGGTCCTAAGTGGGGTGGGGGCTAGAAGGAGGGACTGATCTGAGGCACCAGGAGGAGGGTCCTGCTACAGCTGGGCTGAGCACTGGTTGTGAGTGCAGGGGGCGCCCCCTTCTTTCCTCCCCCCAGCCTGCTGGAGCAAGGCTCCCTCCTCCTCCTTTGTCCTCGGGGATCCCCAGCCCCAAGGGCTGGTGGGGTGTGGGAGGAGGCTGTGCGAGCGGGGGTTGGGGGTGTCCTCACTCCCCCCTCCCCGCACTGCACGAGCGGGGGGCTGGCAGCTGTCCGCCTCCTGGGCACAAGCCCGTGCCAGCCGCTCCTGGCACAGTTGCTGGCACGCCCGGCAGACTCCCACGGCCACCTGCTCACACCCACCCACGAGCGCTGGCTCGGCGGGCCCTTCCGGCTTTCCGGGCCTCCTGACGCCCCTCCCCCGCGCTCTGGAGCCCCCACCCCAGTCCTCTGCTCTCGGCCTGCCTCCTCACTCCTGCCTGCCCCAAGCTCATGGCCCGCCCTGTAACCATGCAACTTGGGGAGCCGGATCCCCAGGAGCCTAGGGGTAGCTTCGTCCCTGCTGGGAGGGGGAGTGGGAAGGGGGCGCCAGGGAGCAGACAGATAGACCGACAGACAGGGTGAGGGCCCCCGCCTGCCACCTGGCGCCGCTCCAGCGGGAGGATGGCGGGCAGCGCCGTGCCAGGCGGTAATTGCAGACAGACTAATTTAAAGAGATGAGACGGTTATTTTTAACTCGTGTTAAGGTAATGAACGGCGCGGGGGTTGGGTGGGATAGGGTTTGTGGGTTGGAAAGTTCAGTGCCCCCCAACCCCCACTTTCTGCGGTTTGGGTCCCCACTCTCTCACGCCCTGAGGACTCCAGCTCCAGGACTGACTGGAGCTGGGGCTCTGCCAGAGGGAGGTGGGGGTGGCTGAGAGGGCCAGGAAGGAGGTACACACTAACCAAGCGCATATCCCATCAAATCCTGGCCACCATTCTTCCACGTGGTTATTAGGATCCCTGTTTCTCCAATGGAATGGTGACTTGCCCTGGGGTCACGTCCGTAGGAAGTGGCAGGCCTGGGAATTGAACCTCCTTCTGACCCCCAAACTCAAGCTTTTCCTATGCCATTGAGCCTGGAAGGGAGCTTGTATTTGGATTTTGAAAGGGTATCCCTTCTCCTGTCTTTTAGTGGTGATGGCCATCACATGTAGTCCGGGGGCTGTGGAAGCCCCTTTATCTGTGTCTCGTGAGGGGTGAGGGGTGATTCTGGACTGTGTGTGTGGATAGGAGCCTCTGGGGTTTGGGTGTAGCAGTTAA